GGCCATAGAAGGAAGGGCATACGGATTTGGGAACATCTTCGCCGGCGAATCCTGCGCGTACAGTTGAGTAGCCGGGGTCGAGAACGATCGCTGAGACCTCATCTATAGTTTGTTATTATTAGGCGTGCGCTATAGAGCTTCGGACAATCGTAGGTACCTCCAGCATACTCTCCCGCAGCGGGTGCGGTCGACGAGTTGGGAATGTTCATCGCGCGCGATTATCGCCGGCGCGGAGACTGGTGAAAGGAAATGTGTCGGGTATGGTACGGCGGATTGACGCGTAATTGTCGAGTTTCCGAGTCAGTCAAAGCGGGCGTGGTTGTGGAGCTGGTGCTGGTGTTCAAGAGAAGCTGTCGCAAGACGCGAACTCCAAAAGTTGAGGTTGCGGACCTGTCCTCCACCACCGCACTTACCCCTCGCGCCTCCGCCCCGCATCCCCCCAGATATTTGTTCGCAGGGTCTCTCAGAACCTGAGAAATGAAGAGATAGGATATAGGTCACCATGGCGCTTAAATTCATCCGCCAGCTGTATGCACTCGATACCCTCGACACTCGCTTCGTAATACCAGCCACCACACCGCCCAAGGAGGCGCTCGAGGAGGCCAAACTTGGCCCAGTGGGCCCAATTCCTGTAAAAGAAGGAAGATATGGCACCAAACGTGCAGATAGTGACATCCATCGTCCACGATGGAATACACTCGAGTTTTATTTCTACTACGTGGTCATTTCGGCCAGCGTGTTCATGATGTTCAAATCCGTACTGGACGTGTCTAAAGGTATGCTTGGTGATACCATAAGTAAGAGTCATGTGTTGACCAACTTGTAGAATCGCACCCAAATTATCCAAAATTCGAACATCTCCTTTCTGATGGTTGGATACCTGGGCGGAAAGTGGTATGTTGTATTGCCCCTTGTCATGTGCAATTCACTGACTTTTCAGGATAATGTTGATGCTCAGTATGGCGGCTTCCGTCAGAACATTCCATATCTGTTTATCGTAGTACTACTGCATCCAAATTTGCGCAAAGCATATGACTCTTTCTGGCGAGCTGGTACATACACCCAAGTACGGTCGTCGGCGAGCAATGGCCTCACCATGGGTCTAACACCGTCCGCTGCAGCGGATGCCCGCATGCTTCAACGCATATCATTTGATGTAGGTTTTGCCACTATATTTCTTGTTGCTTTGCATGGCTTCTCGGCATTCAAAATCCTAGCAATCCTCTATGCCAATTACTGCATCGGAAAGAAGCTCCCTCGGCAGTATATNCCTGCCGCAACGTGGATCTTCAACGTAGGCACCTTATTTGCCAATGAATTTGGCCGGGGCTACTCGTATGCAACTATCCTCGGCACATTTCTCCCATCTGCTACCTCAGAAAAGGGCGAGTCAAGATCTGATTTCGGCCATATGCTTGACAGCTATGGTGGCCTCATTCCACGTTGGGAAGTGCTCTTCAACTTCACCATCCTCCGACTCATAAGCTTTAACCTCGACTACTACTGGTCACTCAACTCTCGAGATAATAGTCCTCTTGAAGTATTCTTCCCACCCTCCCTCGGTTCGATATAGCTAATAACATCCAAGAAGAAACAACTCGACCCTTCCAACCTCTCCGAGCGTGATCGAGTATCCATCCCTGCTAAACCCGCGGACTACTCATTTCGCAACTATTTCGCATATGTCACCTATTCTCCACTCTACCTGGCCGGACCCATCATAACATTCAACGATTACATAGCGCAATGTCGCTACCGGCCTCACAGCATCACCACCAACCGAACGAGCCTCTACTTGATCCGTTTCATCGTTGTCCTTCTTACTATGGAGATTATGATTCATTACATGTACATGGTCGCCATTTTTCACGAGAAGCCCGACTGGTCTCAGTACACACCTTGCGAGCTGAGCATGCTGGGCTTCTTCAACCTCAAACACATTTGGCTAAAGTTACTCATCCCATGGCGCTTCTTCCGTCTGTGGTCACTTATGGATGGTATTGATCCACCAGAGAATATGGTGCGTTGCATGTCTGACAATTATTCTGTTATGCACTTCTGGCGCGGGTGGCACCGCAGCTTCAACAAGTGGAGCTTGAGGTATCTGTATATTCCTCTTGGTGGAAGTAAGGGCGAGGGTATCCTCGGCAAGGCAAGGGCGGTAGGCAACTACCTAGCCGTGTTTACCTTTATTGCGATCTGGCATGACATTCAACTCCGACTGCTCATGTGGGGATGGCTTGTTACTCTCTTTGTTCTTCCAGAGATCATCGCATCATACATCTTCCCAGCGAAGAAGTGGAAGAACAATCCTGATGCTTACCGCTGGTTGTGTGGTGTGGGTGCTGTTGGCGAGATTCTGATGCTAATGACAGCTAATCTCGTTGGCTTTGCACTTGGAATGGATGGGCTAAAGGGTCTCGTTAGTGGTATTGTGGGAACGTGGTCTGGTTGGATGTTTTTTGGGACAGCTTGCTGTGCGTTGTTTACAGGCGTGCAGTTCATGTTTGAGTGGCGTGAAAACGAAAAACGGAAGGGGATTAAGATGAAGTGTTAGATAGGCAAGATTGAGGCAGGCACTTCTTGACGGAAGATTGCGCGATGGTGTACCTCTTGCTCAAAGCATGACCAACATTGTTGCACATAAAAAAAATCACAGACTACTAAATCACAAAGATTAGTAAAAGGCTGCCATCATCACATTAGGTATGCGCTGTGTACACAGCGTTGTTGAGAAAAAATCGACCGTCAAGCAAAGTTGACAAAAAAGGGCAGCAAAAAGAAAATGGCAAAAACAGAGTTTCGAACCCACGCTGGGTGAAAAGTTGTTCCAAAGATTGAGTAAGTGCAGTGTTGTGCGGGACTCGCGGTCACTTCTGGTAAAAGGCAAGAAATGAGTTCGTACAAATCCTCGCACTGCACAATCACATATTGAAAATAAATGATATATATACTACGCAAAGATTGTTGGGTGTGTGGGCGGGCTTGCGAAAATGCAATGGTTGGGGCGCGCGCTCCTACGCTATGGGAAATAAAAGGCCAATGCGTTGTATACGAAAGGGATAGTGACGTGACGAAAGGAAGGGTCGGGCGGATGCGTTGGCCGTGCGCGCTCGTCTGTTGCTGTACCGAGGGGTGTGTGCTTGAGTCGTGTCTGGGATTTTGGCTGGCTGGTACGTTTTCTTGCTCCTCTATCCTCGCTAACTGTAAGAAAACGGCTACTACTACTTTTTTTTTAAAAAAAAAAAGAGCAAAAGTAAGGGGGAGTAAAAGAAGGTATCGAGTGTGGGTTTGGCCCCGCGGCTTAGATTTCTAGGTGAAGTGAGCGTGGTTTGTGGGACACGTGCCCCCGCTTTCGGTGGCTTGCCAGGCTGCCTTTCTGGAGCTTGCTGAATGACATATTCTCCTCTCATTTCGTGCAGAGTTGGCAATGGCTATTTTCTGCGTCATCACATGGTTTTTTTCAATCTAATCTAGGATTCTCTCGGTATACTTGCGAAGTTGATGGTATCAAGGGTGGAATCCCTGTCTCCAGCTGGTTTCATGTGGCTCGAGTACCTGAGACTCAAATACACCTGGCTTCCTCCACTTATTCCTTCGAGAAGACTGTTACGATTCATGCTTGCTAAATATGTATACTCAGTGCTGCAGGTATCGCGAGTTCTCCTATTTGCAACTATCATTCTGGACAGCTGCCACATCGTTTCTCTTAAGAACCGTTTGGCCCTCAAGTCTTTGTTTCCTATATCTCATTGCTGTCTTCAATCCCTTCAAGTTTTATTACGTAGCCTCAGATTCGGCTTGGATCTATATGGAAAATATATGCCAAAGAAATGGCTCCGTCTAGCATCGTGTACCAAGCCTTGGTCTCGAAGCGCCAAGGTGTATATCCATTACTTTGCGCCGACACCAGTTACAATGTGTACTAGCATGCTCCGGAATGGTCGCAGTCCGCTCTTGTACTGAATGCATAGCTTCGCAAGCTCATCAGCGAGTATGTATCTTAGGCTATTCTAAGATACCGTTCTCCATCGTTGTCTGTTCCCGTTTTAATGATGGTTGTATTGCTGTTTACACTTGTCGGGTATACATGGTAGGTGACCGACCACCACCCTACTTTTCATTAAAAAAACAGCACTTCAAACGTCAAAATGCCAGCATAATTTTCCCGGCTTGATTTGAAACTATTTTCTGTCCTCGGTTGCCTTCATTCGTTTTGACGATTCAACTCCAACGCCTGAGGCACTTTGGTGTTTCAGTCTTTGTTCCTTGCCCCAGATTGTAATTGCCCCCCCTACCCCTCACCACTTCACCCAATGCGTTCATAATCTTGGGATTTCGTTTGCTCAATGGTCTAGAATACCAACGCCCTTCACTATCTGTTCGCGATTACCAAACGGCGCTGGCGCTAGACCCAAAACCGCCAAGCGCGAGGTAGGACATGCAAGAGGATATGGTCACTCACTCCAGCTCTCTTGTTACACTTGACCTACAACACCTCGTACACAGTCTTTACTGTCTGGTTTGCTTCACGATCTCTTCGCTTGGCGTGGCCCGGCTTCCTCTCCTTTTGCCAACTGCAGGCAGTCACTCTTTTGTATCTTGTCCGACGACTTGAGTTGTGCTCGAGTCAAACACTCTACCGCAACCAGACACACAGCAATTTTTGCATTGGCTGTATAGCACGAATATTTCATAAGGTTCAATTCATCTTCACCATGAAGACTGTCGTTTTGGCGAGCGCTCTGGCAGCTGCCGGCCTTCTGGTGGGCTCCGCGAGCGGGCGTCCTCTCTGTAAGTCATACACTCCATTGGTGAGACCCCATTGACCGAATGAGTCTAGACCACAAGCGCGAACTCGTCACCAAGGTTGTTTATGTGACTGAGGTGGTCGCTGAAGTTGTCATCTACGTGGATGAAGGGGGTGCAGCCTTTTCCACCTCAACTTCCGTTAAGGTCCCTGTCATGGCTATGTCTTCAGTTCTGTCTTCAAGCATTTCTCAGGCCGCTCTACCAAAGACGACTCCCTCTTCGATTGCTTCTGTCATATCTACTCCGGCTTCACTTACACCAGCTGTTGCGCCTGAGTCTTCTTCTGCGGCACCCGTCACCACTGAGGCATTGGAGCCTGCAGCCCAATCCTCTTCCGTAGCAGAATCTCCCTCATCTCCGGTCGAACCTTCCTCACCTCCAGTGGAACCGTCTCTGCCTCCAGTCGAGCCACCTTCTCCCCCGGCAGCACCTCCATCTCCCCCAGTTGAGCCGCCTTCTCCTCCGACGCCGTCGTCCTTGCTTCCAGCGGAGCAGTATCTTCCTCCAGCTGCACCACCTTCCCCTCCGGCTGCACCGCCGCCGCCGCCTTCTTCTCCTGCGTCACCTGCCCCAACCGAAAATCTCAGTGCGGGCAGCCTCCCTATGGGCATAACCTGGGATGTCTACACTGGCTCATCAGAATGTAAGTCGGAGGCTGAAATCGCGAGCGAGTTTAGTAGGATGAGAGACTTCAAGATGATTCGCTTGTACGGCATGGACTGCAATCAGATCTCTCTTGGTATTCAGAATGCGCTTAAGAACGGCCAGAAGCTCATGGGCGGCGCGTACCTGGATGCAGGTGGTAGCGGTGAAGACGTTAGCGAGGTCATTAAAGCCTACAAGACTGCTATCGATCAGCATGCCGGCGGCAACTGGGACGTCATACAGCTCTTCACAGTGGAGAACGAACGTGTAAATGAGGGCAGGATGACTGCAGCGCAGGTTGTCGACGCAATCGGTAGAGCGCGTACCCAGCTACGACAACTTGGCTACAACGGCCCTGTGGGCGCTGTCGAGACGGCACCAGCTACCATTAACAACCCGTCTATCTGCGAAGCCTCAGACGTGGCCATGGTCAATATCCATGCCTTCTTTGACCAGCACACACACGCAGCAGATGCGGGTCCTTTCGTCAAGAGCCAAGTCGAACGTGTACAGTCTGCCTGCAACAATAAGCGTGTTGTCGTCACCGAGTCGGGTTGGCCTCGCCAGGGTAGCCCTAACGGTGAGGCTATCCCCTCGCCAGAGAACCAGCGCATTGCTCTTCAGTCGATCCGCGCATCTTTCAGTGGCGACATGTTTCTCTTCAGCGCTTTTGATTCCAGCTGGAAGGTCAACACAGCATCTACTTTCAACGCCGAGCGTTTCTGGGGCGTCATCGGGTAGGTGTCTTGGTGACATGAAGGTTTCAGTATGGCGCTGCTCGATGGAATGTCGTGGAGATGAGTCTGCACCTCCTCATTGTTTGGCTGTATACGCCTGTATCTTATGATTGCTTTCTTTCCATGTGGATCAGGTCGTTGTGTGGCCTGGTGCCCTATTCATGTATACGGCAGCTCGTTCCTTGTACGATTATGAGATTATGCAAGTATGAGGTACGATGGGTTTGCAGCACACATGTAGTATAGATACCCTGATTTTCCAATGAATCATTTCATTGCTGCGACAGAACATCTTGAACATCATTAACAATCTTTAACATGAACCAGCGCATGGAAACCGACGAGCCAAATACCATTAACATTACTTTTAACACGACTCACTGATACGTGTCCTGAATTTCTTTTTCGTGAGGAATGTGAATGTCTTGCTGGCATAGGCAGTCTAACTATGTATTCCCATTTTCTATGAGATGCTCTTGTTTACTCTACGTCTTACATCTACCATCACATAAGTATTCTATAACAACAATCCTCCCAGTTGAACCGCAAAACGAATAAGGCGGAAACCCACCCACCTCGCCCTTCTACTCTCACAACCTCAACTCCGCTGCCGCATCCTCAATCGCTTTCACCAAGCCATCCATTGTCCTCCTGCCCACATTACCATTCACCACAACCCTAAAAAACTTGCCTTGCTCACCGGGCGCAAAATCAACCATGAACCCCCTACCTACCAATCTGTGCGCAATCTCCGTCGTAGCCTGACTATTCTTCTCCGAATCCTCGCTCACCAACCCACCCTTGGCATAGTAAAAGCACACTTGCAAACAAGGCAGCGGCTCCGGACTAATCGTCTTGAAACTGCCGCTATCCTTGAGTTTTTGCAGCAGATACTCTGCGTTGTCGTAGGCTCTGTCGACCAAGTCGCTGAAATGCTGGGGGCCATAATATTGCAGTGCGAGGAAGAACTTCAAACTATCTGCGCGGCGACCACACTGGGGTGTCAAGTCTGCTAGGTCGTATATATCCTGTGCATCTGTGCCGGGGGCGTTGTGGAAGAGGTAGCCTGCGGGGAGCGTAAGGGCGTGGTAAAAGGAATTCATGTCTCTGCCGAGCAAGAAGCTGCTAGTCATGGGAACGCCGAGCATTTTATGTGGATTGACGGTTATGCTGTCTGCGAGGTGGGAGCCTGCAAGACGCGCAGGGGCGTAGGTAGGAGAGAAGATAACACTACCGCCCCAGGAGCCATCGATGTGGAGCCAGAGGTTGTGCAATTTGCAGATTGAAGAGAGGGCGGGGAAGGGGTCGAAGGAGCCGTGGACGGTGGTGCCTGCTGTGGCGTTGACGAAGAAGGGGGTTTCGCCGCGGGTCTTGGATTCGGTGACGAGGCGCTCGAGTTCAGAGGGGATCATGCGGCCATCATCGTCGACAGGGACGGCGATGACGTTTTTAGAGCCGAGGCCGAAGAGGTTGGCGGCCTTTTCGACGGAGTAGTGGCCGTGGGCTGAGGTGAAGAGGGTAAATTTGTGAGTTCCATTGCCGTCAGTTTTGGTCTCTGGAAATAGAGTGTTTCTAGCGATGACGATGGCAGAGGCGTTGGCGGCACTGCCACCTGGTTGGGAGATTCCTCCACAAGTCTTCTCTGGAAGGCCAAAGAGAGAAGCTAGGTACTTTGTTGTTCGTTTTTCAACAAGGGTTAGTACGGGCGAGACGTGGTAGACATGGGCCTGGAGAGAGTTAGTACCCGATTGCCTAAGCAAGAGAAAAAACTTACATTTGTGTTCAGCACAGCCAAAAGCAGCTCGCTGACTACACCCACAGCGTTCGTACTCGCATATAATTTGTCCAGGAACCCTTGATCCCAAGTGTTGACGCTATATTTTAACACGGTGCTCACCAGCTTGACTAGTCCATCTTTCCCAACTTTTTTGTCATTGATTTCCAACTCTTCGCTGAGAATCGATTCCAGTTTCTTGGGAGGGTGATGCTCAACAATTGTAGTTCTTGGGCCACCACTACCTTCTATTCGCAGACCATGTCCGGTGTGCTTAGTGGCAGCATCTTCGTCTGCAGAGCGAATGAACGGGATGATCAACTCCTGGATAGCATCAAGGAGCTGGTGGTAGTGTTAACATCATGCTATCTGGTGGGGGCGAATGATGAATTGGAGTCATCATCGATGTGCAGTGAGTTACACAACATTTGCTGTCGGAATGGTCGGAAAATGGTTCCGAGGAACTTACATCTTTGACTTCATCAGCCCTATTGAGAGGCGTATTTCCGGGTATGGAAGACATGACACAAGTCGTCAGACAATTGAAGCAATTCAAGCTCGAAAAAGGTCAGTGCAAGGATTGGATTGAAAAGAACAGTGGTGGTGATGTGTAGGAGCAAAAATCACGGCACAGAAATGGCGCGCAAAGTTGCCCGAGCTAATCGGCATTAGTGCCGGCTACCTGAGCAAATGGCAAACATGCAGTCATGGATTTTTTAATCGAGCTGACCATTCCTGGTCCGCCAAAAATGCGTAATCGCACATGCAAATTATGCCACTAAGAAAGGTATCTACGATCATCGAATCAAAAACCAAACATCCAAATCAACCACTACAACAGATCCACCTTATCTAACGCCAGAGTGATGAAGCAGCCTGATATAGAAAATACCCCACGCCATGTACGTGGTGTCGCCATTGTCATTGTGGCGCAACACTTTTGCCTTTGCTGCTACTCCCGCTGCTCACGCTACCGTTTGTAGCTTGGCTTCCCTTCTTGGACTTTTTGCCGTCTTTTCCTTGTGTAGCCTTTGCAGCTGCATGCTTCTGCCTTGCCAGCTCAATAGCTGTCAGCTGCCTGCCCGCCTTGGGATTTTGAGGCGCATCACTAGTGCCCTCTGGGAATGACTGGAAGCCTTGATTACCGGCTGTGTAGCGGGATTGTGTGACCCAATCGTTACGCCTACGCTTGTAGAGATCCATGCGCCAGTTTCGCCAGACAGCACGGCCTACATGAGATTCACGCAGTGAACTCTCATTTTCCGCCAGCTCCTCGGCGATGCGCTCGCGGATGAAGGCCAGACCGGCTGTGCCCTGCCAGATTGCGTCGATGACGTGCGATGCTGCTGGGTCGAGTGCAAGCTCACCAATTTTACCGTAAAATAGTTGGATCATCTTGCGGCGGAAGATGACGGACGCGTTCTCTGACATTAATGCTGCTTGAAGTGTCCTGGATGCTGTTGGGTCACGAGCCAGCTGAGTGGCAAGCTCAGGCGACAAGTTGGCAAGAGAGTCAAACACAAGCTGACCAAGGGGTCCATCAACGGTCATCATGGTTTGTGCTAGCAGAGATCCATGAACCTTTTCCGGTGACTGAACATGCCTGGCGCGTAGTTTTCCCTCTTCTTCATTTAGTCGAAGGATGCGGGTGACTTCAAAGCCGTTCGAACCAGCATAAGCGGCCTCAAGTTGTGCTGTGATGGGTGCGCAATTGACTTCACGTGCCACACAGCGCTCAATGAGCACTTTGATGACAGCGGTTCGGTTGCGTTCGACTAGGCTGGGAATCTGGTCGACGATTTGGCGCATAGCTTCTTCTAGGTCGTCTTTGCCGAGCCTCTCAAGAATCTTACCTACCACGTATCCCGCGATTTCATTGCGTGACAAGTTGCCCATGCGATCTTTGAAGAATTCTCCATAGATGGCCTTGAACAATTTACCCGGCGCGTTCTCGATAATTGTTTCCAACAGGCGGGATCCTACCGTGTCATATACCAGACCGTTGATGAGGATGGCGCTTTCAGTTCCTTCGGCAATGGGGTTGTCAGGAAGCAGTCGGTGAATGATAGACTTTTCGTTCTTGGCTCGAGACTTTCCGAAATGCGCCAATTCCAGCTTGAGAAGAAGCTGCAGGGTTGGGCCACCGAGCGGATGTGTGGTGAGTGAACGAAGGTAATGCGACTCTATGCCCGAGACACTATCACTAATGACCTTTTCCAGGGCGTCCAGGAAAGACTGGGGAACAACCCTCTCCTCCAAGACACGCTCCTGACCCTTTTCTGCGCCAGAAACAGTAATTTTTTCCTTCTTCTTGCTCTGCATGACAGACTTTGTCTGTTTCTCCAACGGCGCACCTGAAAGGATTATAAGCAACACCCGGAGTACATGAGAGGCGTACTTGTCCGTCATCAAAAAACCCATGTATCCCTCGAGCTCGCCCAGTGTAAAGAGAAAGAGATTTTCCATCGAGACGACGACTTCATCGGGGTCGGAGGCGGGTGGGGTCTGCAGAGGTTCCGCTTTGACAGTCTCTTCCGTAACGGCAGGGGCAGCTTTTATGAAAAGTGCTTCGCAGCAGTGGGAGGCAAAACGATTCTGGACGAGGTTGAGGAAACTAGGGGGACGATCAGCATAGCAATTGCAGAAGGCATTATGGAAGAACTTACTGTCCGCTGAATTTTTGAAACAGACTTTTCAACTGGTCTGGCGAGGATAGGAGGATCAGGCGCTCAAGTAGGCGCGAGGACTGGCTGTTGGCGATTTTCAATTCCTTGCTGTCTGCCTCTTTCCACACACTGGCCAGGAAGATGTCACGGTCCTCGGTGCTTTCGAACTGGTTTAACTCGAGCATCTCGTCGGCCTTTTTGAAATACTCCTGCTCCTGCTCGTCGAGCATTCCGTAAAAAGGCGACTCATTGGGGCGGCTGATTTGGCCATTGGCGAGTTCCTGGACTGAATCTTGGACATGGAGCAGGTCAGAATCTTCATGCTTGGGGCGCTTGGAGCTGGCATCGTCGTCGGCGTCCCTCTTGCGCTTTTTCTGCTCCTCGCGGCGACCGCGCTTCTTGTGTTCCTTGGGCATTGCTGGCGATGACGGCAGCGGCGCGCGACGAAAGTTTGGACCGTTTCAGCAGCCAGGCGGGGAGAGAAGTCTGCAGTGCGCAGCAGCACCCAACGCAGGGCCGGGCAGCAGGGACTTATAGCCGACTGGCGGTCAGCAGGAAGGGCAGGGCTGGAGAGGGCCGTGGAAGGGCAGTATGGAGATTTAACGGAGGCGTTGGACACGGCAGTCGCAGTGCAGTAAGCATGTTTTCCAGCAGTGGACTGATGCGGCAGAGGGTGGCGCTCGCTAGGGAAAAGTTGCTGCCCATTTTGGGGCTAGCCCAGATCGGTGGAGATCGAGGCGGTCCCCAAGATCGGGAAGGCGCCACCAGGGCAGAGGGAAGGGTCGACCGAGGCTGGCTAGTGCGCTAGAACCCGGTGCGCTAGCCGCTTTGGGCGTGGCCAGGCTAGGATGGACCCCCACCATCACTGGCCGAACGGTAACTGCAATACCGTCAGCCGCAGCGACAGACTGCCTACCCTCGCCCAACGCAGCCATCTGCCCACGAATCGTACGATCCATGGACGACAATTCAACTCGCGTCGCAGACTACCTCGACGATAGGCTGCAGACGCTCGGCGACCTCGACTCGCTCCACGACCTATTGGCCACCATCACCACCCAGCACGGCCTGCTCAAGAAACAGCTCCACGATGCCCAGCGCGACCTTCACAACGCCAAAGACGCTGCCCACGCTCACCATGACTCCCTCACCCAGCGTGCAGACGCTTTTAGGCACGAGCAGGCCGACATTGACCGTCGCCTCATGGTCATAACCGCCTCGGAGACAAGCGACGAAGCCGTGCCCCGCTTCGCTGAGGTGCTCGACACGCTTCACCGTCTGGATGTCGCCACCAACTATGTAGACCTGTTGGCAGAAGTGGACAAGCTCAGGTACGCCAGCGCCAGCAGCTGCCACCTCTCATACCCCAGAGCCGCCGCCCGCTGACGTACCGCTACAGTAAACAAGCCCAGGCAAAACTCCAGACGTCCAGCGAAGCCGCCCTCGCGCCGTACAAGCAGCTGCGTGCCATTCACACGCGCCTCATCAACCTGCAAGAAGACGCAGAGGGTGCCGCGCCCCAGCTGGTCTACTACGTCAGTAAAATCACCCATGCCCTGCGCACCAAGATTCTCGACGCCTTCTCTGCCCAGCTCGAATATACGCTCAAGAAGATACGTTGGCCCTTGCCCAATGCAACTATACCCACAAATCTGCGCGAAGAATGGGAGACTGCTATTATCAAGCTTCTCGATCTGCAATTGCCCGAGCTCGAGGGCATGAGCTATGCCAATGGTTCTGGGAACAAGGTCAAGCTGCCGCCAGTGCTGTTCCCCATGGAGGTACTGGTGCAGCCGCTCGAGATGCGGTTCCGCTACCATTTTGAAGGCGACAAGCCTACGAACCGAATTGATCGACCCGAGTATTTTCTTTCACACATCACCACGCTTCTGAACGACTACAGCGGATTCGTCAATGACCATGTCCAGCCTGTTCTGCTACGCCACTTCCGCGGAACCGATCTTGCGCTCAATCCCGTCTACATTGATGCCATGTCGGCCTTCATAACTGCCCTACTACCCATGCTGCGCACCAAGATTGGCTCGTTGCTGCCCAAGGTTGCTGACCAGCCACAGCTCTTGAGCCACCTGATACACGAGGTGATGAACTTTGACACGGACCTCCGAGACACGTGGGGTTACGATGCTGGTCATGGCGTTGAAGGCTGGAAGGGGCTTTCATGGGAATTCCTCGTACAGGGTGATTGGTTCGGACGGTGGCTGCAGGTGGAAAAGGATTGTAGGCTTTTTACCGCGCCCAATGTGGAAATTCGTTACGGATGACTGACACGCAGCAGTTGCCCTATCCCGCTATCAGAACATTGTCGAGGCTCCAGACTTTGGTGATCTTGACTATGAGAGCGTCGATCCCAAAGCCACCAAGCCCACAAAAGGAGCGATCCGCGTAAACGACCTGCTCGAGACCATAACGGGTACTTTTCTCGCTTACCCTATATTGCAAATCTGGCGCTAACCTTACATTTCTGCAGATCGCTACAGGCCTCTAACTTCGTTTAGCCAGAAACTCACCTTCCTGATTGATATTCAGATTGCCATCTTTGACAAGTTGCACGAGAGGCTGCAGAGCAATCTCGAAGCGTACCTGACGATGACTACGTCGCTGGGTCGTGCCATGGGTGGTATCACCAAAGAGGAACAGGAAAAGCTGCTTGGCGTCGAAGGACTGGAGCGCCTTTGCAAAACCTTTGGCAGTGCAGATTATCTCGAACGGGCCATGCGTGATTGGAGCGACGATGTGGTAGGCTCATATCTGCATTACCCCTGTGCTATGTGACTTGCGGCTGACTTTGAGTTTCATAGTTTTTCCTGGATATCTGGGAGGAGCTACAAGATCGCGCTCGTAGCCCGACCAGTAATATTGGTACCATGACTGTTGCAGATGTGGCCGGACGCACGTCAAAAAAAGTTGAGAGCGACGACATGGAAGCAGGTTCGCTGTTTGACGAAACGGCATCGTGGTACGCACGCCTTCGTGACCGCAGTGAGAAGATTATCATCGACACACTGAACAGCAACGTGCGCGAGGCGCTGCGTGCATATCGGCACATGTACGTTTCCTCGCCACATCACTTCACCGTTTAATGCGAAAGCTGTGTACTGACATTTGTTTTTCTGATAGCAACCCGTGGGCCACGCTGGGTGGGCCCTCGGCTTCAAGTTCCGCTGCTGAACCCTCGCCGACCGCAGAGCTGGATCCATTGCTTGTTTATCTGCGCACAACACTAGCGTTCCTTTCACGCGCCCTTGCCTCTGCGCCATTGCGCCGCATCACCCGGGCCATGCTGACTACCATTTCGACGGTGTTTTGGGAGAACGTACTGAGTCGGTACCGCTTCTCCACCCAGGGTGCCACACAGTTACACGCTGATGTCTTGGCTGTGTGCCGCGTCGTCGACAAGCATGTTGGCCCTGGTGTGGCAGAAACGGGACTGAGAAAGTGTCTCGAGGGTGTGAAACTTGTTGGCTTACCGGTCAAAGGCGGTCCATCTAGTACATCAGGCCAGGATGAGGCCAAGCATGACGACGGTGGCGAGGATAACGAAGATTGGGACACGGAGGCTTGGGGCGCTGTAGAAGACGGTGATGAGGATCCGTCGGATGTTGCGCCAAAAGCAAAGCACCCCGGTGACACGACGTCATTGGGCGGTGGAAATGAGACTGGCGCTGCTGCTGGGGCTGAAGAGCTGCTGGGGCTGTGGGAAGTGGAAAAGCGGCTGTTTGCGGATAACCAGGCGGCTAGGGATGTGCTAGATGAGTTGGGCCTCGAGCTACTGAGTGAGACGGAAGCGAGGTCTTTGCTGAGGCGCAGGGTTGAATTGGCTGGTTAAGGTGGATGAGGTGGTAGTAGTAGCTTGCATTACTGCACATCTTCAAGGGAGGGTGTGTGTGTATGCAGGTTAAGGTAGAACGTGCACGAGTAGTTTGCATGACTGACACACATCTCAGGTGTGTGTGCGCGTGTGCATCTGTATGCAAAAATGAAGAGAGTCATCATGCAGGGTCCTGCTTTAATCTCGTAACGTCTTTTGAAAAAAAAATACGGTGCATTGGCTGGATGTTTTGTTTCTAAAATCATGCCATCTGGTTGTCTCATGTCGGTATACTTGGCCCCTATGCACTTTCAAAGTTTCGAGTAAATTAAAATTCTTGGGGATTACACGAGCTTGCGGCTGCAGCTGCAGTAAGTAAGTAACTAGTCTTGGTGGTGGTGGTGGTGGGTATATGTATAACTACGTGTTAAAAGTACGGAGCATTCTTAACACACATCCTTGCATTAACCCCTCCCCCCCCCTTCTCTCTCTCTCTCTCCGCCCCTCCCTCATCCACCCCCCGCCTTCTCTAAAAGCCTAGCGCGATCAATTCGAAATCTTGGGATCAACCTTCTTCCCCGTTGCTTTTTCATAGGCTTTGCGCATTCCATCGGTCTATAAAAAAAAAAGGGGGGTAAGTTTTTATCAGCTTTTATTTTATTTTTTTTCTGTTTACCTCCTCTCCCCCTCATCTCTGCTTCTACCACTCTCCCTTATCCACTTCCGACTTTCCAGATGCCGAGATTGTGTGTGTGGATTTGGGAATGTAGGGGTAAAGATGGGAAGGAAAAGGTGGAGAGAGAGAGAGAGGGAAGGGAGGGAGGGGAAAAAGGGAGAAAGGTAGAGAGGAAACGTACAATTTTCTCACTCAACCCTTTATTCGCTGCAATCTTCTTACCCTGTTCACCCCCGAATTTACTAGCGACGGTGTTGAAGGCTTTGTCAAGGTAATCGTTGCCTCCAGCGGCGCTGTTGCCTTGGTTGGGATTGCTAGACATCTTTTTTTTCCTGTCCCTTTCGGAATACCGTCGTTTTGGGTTTGTTGGCGACTGGGATGCGTCTTGGTTTCTTTCCGGAGTTAATCAAGGCGGGGGGTCTGGTTGCCTGTAAGTCGGATGTTTTTTTTTGTGAGGCGAACTGGACTGGGGGCGTTTTTTTTGCGGGATGCGAAGATCAGAGGATCTAGAGGATCGACCGTAAGAACGGGTGGTGGATGTGTATGGTGGTGGGGGAGCGGGGTAAAAAGGTTAAAAAAGGGTAACAAGGGCATAAGGGGGGGGCGGGTAGCGCGTGTTTTTTTTTTGGGGGGGAGTGAGGGGTGGTCACATGCGAGATGGCCGGGTTTGGGAGGTTTCACATGTTTGTGCTGTAAATGTTTCTAAGGGGAGTTATTCAAGGGGCGGTTGTTGGATATCGATATTTCGCAGTCTTGTTTACGGCGACAAACACTTGGCCTGTGCACTTTTGTCTTGCCCTTACCTACCCATGAAAACATAAAGAGAGGTTCTTGCCTCAATTTCTCCTTCGACTCGACTAGCACCTTTTCACATGCTCTCTCTCTCCTCATCTTTCCCTTAGTGGATAATAACCCACCATCATCCTTTTCCCAGCCTAGCGCACTTCCTGCACCGCCCCCCCCATGCATCCTGTAAGCACCAGTTTAGCATATGCATCGTGCATGCATGTACACAAGGTCTAAGTACATGCATGTGTACTTGACATACCCATGCCTTGCATGTCTCTAAGCGCGCGCAGCAGCAAAGCAAAGCAAAGCAAATCAGGCAAGAGAAGAAAAGAAAAAAAAAATAGGGCCGCGGGGCATATAGTTCGCTTACAAAAACGCACGTTTACGTACATATAAGCTTACTATCCTAGTCCATATAGTCCCCCAAGACAGAAGAGTAAAGAGAGGGAGAGAGGGAGAAAAAATGAAGCGAAGAAGCGAAAGTGGTTGAGGAAGTTTCTTGTCTTCGGTCCTTTTTTCTTTCTTTCTTGTCCATGTAGTGTTGGCGAATGGAGAAAAGAAGAATGCAGGTAAGAAGGGAGGCGGTGTGAGAAACAATTTCCTCCAACCGGTTTTAGTGGATTTTTTTTCTTCTCTTTCTTCGCTTTCCTTTGCTTCACTTTTTTCATACGATAAAGAATAACGTGATGCGCGAATGAAAAGGTTTTAAACGAGGTTAATAAATTTTGGGATATTTTTCATCGTCATTCATTCTCTATTCATACAGGTATCATTATCTAGGTTTCCTTGTGTCTGGTGGTCCACACGCGTCGCAGCATGACGCTCCATTGCTCGCTGTTGTTCTCGGTCTTGCTCTTCTGCTGAGCGCAACGGAACAATTGTTCCGTTCAGCCTCTCAACGTACGGTCGGACCTTGGACCACTTGTCGTCCAGCTTATGCATTCTATCCTTCCAGCACCCGTTCTTGTTAGGCGTTGATGCGGTGATCGGTGATGGTGGTGTGTCCTCCTCAGTTGGAGAACTTGTCGGGGACATCCTTGCCAGTCGCCTTTTCAAACATGTTGCGTGCACCATCGGTCTATTGTTGGTCAAGTGTTAGCCTGATGTTCTTTTTCTTTTTTTCTTTCATGTAGTTCCCTTGGTTCTGGATGGAACTAGGGCAAGGATGGGAACGTACAATCTTCTCATTCACACTCCGATACCTCTGTGTGTCTTCAGTTGATGCACCGCCGTACTTCTTCTCTACAGCGTCAAGGCCCTTGTCGAGGTAATCTTCTTTTTGCTGGTTGTTGTTGTTGGATGTGGCTTGGTTTGAGCCGTTTCCGGTAAAAGAGTCCATATTGAGAGGTGATATGGGGGGTCCACGAGGTAAATGTGATGGGGTGATGAGGTATGACACTACCTATTTTGGTAAGCGTTCTTGTTTGTGCGTGCGTGGCTTGGTGAATTGGCGGGCGTTCTCACGAGTTAAAAGTGCCGGATAGATTTGGACTTTGTTGTGGTTGGTTGAATGTTTAGTTAATTTGACGTGATATCGACGATGGCGTGTTGAAAGTGAGATGATGAGGCGTACTTTTCATTCCATTTGTATACTCCTCGGTGACAGCAGAACAAGTTACACATGATGTTCTGGCTTTCGTCATACTGTGACCTCCAACTACGTCAGTTCAACGCATCTACCTTGTCTGAACCCCAGCTGTTCAATCCACATATGTAAATCATCAGACACGGTACCCATTTACGAGCATTCCTCCGTGACAACCACTCCTTTCTAGCCAGCGCCCCAGCAGCAACGTTCGTCATGCTCGAAGGAGAGTGTCGAAAACTTGGCTTTCAGACGGTCGAAAACTTGGCTTAAGCCATGATGCTTAAATCACAGCCACCTGTTTCCCCACAGACGGAGAATTAAAGCAACGCTGAAAGAGCAAAAGATCAAAGCTATGACATGTATCGGAGCTTTTCTTTGCCGTATCTGTCTAGCATCGACACTATGCGATGGTGGGTGGAGCAAAAGGTTATGACGTCAAATCCAATGCAAGGCCACCCGTCCGCCAGCCGAGTGATCCGGGCCGATATCGTATCAAGCCATGACGAGTAAAAAAGCCGCGTACCACTTATCACTCGCTCTATTGTCAGGAGACTGCACGCTTCCAGACCTGCAGATCACAGCAAATCATAAAATGCTGGTATTAAGTAGTTGGAGAATTCCGGTATCGGAGGACGGCGCAGCGGCGCGGGTGGGCCATAGGCTTGCAGCAGTGGAGATGGAAATCGGGTCGAGGAAGCGAGCAAGCCACAGCAGACATGTATACCGTGTATCTTTTCAGAAGGGTATTGTGAGGGTCTGAAGTTGAGTAGCAGGGTGTTCAAGATGATAGTTGAGTACTAGAGTTGTGCTTGTCCTTGTGTCTGTGCCTGAATGTATTGAGGCCTTTCATGTACTCAAGCTAACCTAATGCAGCACACGAGATTTGGCTCTTTAGGCAGACATGGCCATGTAGACAAGTAGAGTTTGCACTTCACAAAACAATGTACTCATAAGGACACCGAATATCGTCTTAACAACTTCATATTGTGACTACTGTTCTTCTTCCATCACCTCATCCACGACGTTAATCACGCCATAGCTACTAGAAACTTAACATAGTAGCAAGCATTCCATCGTCGACACTCGCATCCCCGATTACCCTCTCCAGAACGCCGTTGTAAGAGTCAGGTTGCACGAATCTAATGTGCACTGCTCAGTCCCGGCAATAAAAACAAGAAGCTTCGGGTATCGCAAACAGGGTATAAAGCTACTCGACCTTGATCGTCTGGTCTGTGAGTCGCGAAGCAAGATAACATGTCGTTGGAAGAAAAGTGGTTGTACCCCAACGCCGGCGCTCCAACACACTGTGGAACTAATGGAAAAGGAAAACGCTATAACGCACGACGAGAAACGACTAGTAGGAAATGCAACAATGAGTAAGACATACAACGAAGAGAAAGTAAAGGGTGTACGCTGAAAAGAGGCGACAGGTGGGAACAGTCTATCCGTACTGCTTGATCAAAGAGTGTAGCAGTCGGCAGAAGAGGGTGTGAAGGTCGACGAAGAAGTTTTCCTGGCCGACAATCTCAATCAGGCTCTTGGCCTTCATCACGTCACGAGACACACGAGGGAAGCCATCGGGGTCGAGCTTTTTGGCAGACAAGAAAGAAGAGACGGGAGTGATGTTGCGGAAACTGGGCGCACTGGTGGTCGACGAGGTCCTCTCTTTCTGAGACGATAAGAGCTGTGAGGTTGTCGAGGATGTCGAGGACGCCGAAGTGCCAAGGGGAGGAGTGCTTCCGGGTACGGCCGTTGCTGGACGCGGTATGCTCTGCGAGGCTGCGCTCTCGCGCTCAAGAACCCTATCGGCCAGCGAAATGATTCTGTTGGCGATGCCCTCGAAAGCTTCGGTAATCTTGACCATGGCCTTTGTGGCTCTGCGACAATCGCGACCGGCCATAGCAATAAGCGCATAGGTGCGCTTAGCGCCTCGCGACCGCGGATCCTGCAGACGGAAGACGTAGGCAATAGTGTAGCCGGCGACCGAGTCTCCAAACATTATGGGACCAGAGGGCTTGCTGAGGGGGAGGACCTCGGTCGACAAAGTTCGGATGCAGGTGCGTCGCAGTAGAGAGTAGGTGCTGGGCGACTGTGGCTGGCTGGTGGAGATGTAGTTGAGGGTGTGGGTGTGGATGCTTCTTGAGCTAAGAGAGGGCGAGGCAGGTACCGAGTCGGGATACAAGCTCGAGTTGCCACTCTGGAAGGAAGCCGACTGTTCGGTGTCGGAGACGTCTGACGAATCGGTACTGCTGACATCATCGCGCGAAATAGGGCGTCGTACGGGATAGCTTTGTGAGCTGCGTAACACGGGACTGCCGTTCCTTCCTCGTCCGTCTTTGGTGGGGCTGCCGGGGGCGCCGTTGGGAATCTTGTCGCTGTACTTTTGGGGAACTACCATCTGGCAGTTTTCGCATACGTCCGAGTCTGATTCGAGGGTGCTGCTAGGTCTCCTTCCGCCAAAGCTGCTGCCAGCGGACGACGAGGAGCAGCTGGGGAAGTATGGGTTATGTGAGGGCGAGTTTGGGCTGGTGGGCGGCGAGTCAAAGGGCGAGTTGAGTTGGGGGGCGCGCGGGTTCAGCTTGAGGGAGGTGGGCTGGTCGTACAGGCCATTATAAGAGCAGGCCGAATAGGGCTCATCGGACGGGGGCGTGACGCATGGGTTGCAGGAGCCGCAGGGCGAGGTGGATGCTTGGGTACAGATGATGGAGGTAGGACCGTGGACTTCGCAAAAGTGTGCGAGCGAAATCTAAGAGGCGTCGCGTTAGCCGTGATGCCTGCTCGGGAGGGCGGCGAGGTTTGGGGACACATGACGGGTAGCTGGCGACGGGCGGGGGCAGGCCAGGGCATGTTTTGGGGAAGGGAGGCAGGGACAAGCGCGCGGGTGCTTACCGTAAAGTCCATGTTTGCTGCTATCTAATCTCTACCGTCTCATGGTGTTTGGCAGTGTGTAATGGTGGGGTCGGGAGTGGTGGCTCAGCTGACTGATGGGTAGCCCAGAAGAGGCGTAGTTGCCGCGCGAAACTTGAGCCGGCGGAGAGATGGGGTGGTGGGTGGCTGCTGTGAGTGGTGAATGGTGTGGTGTGGTGGAGTGAGGGTGGTGCGCCAGTGTATGGGAAGGTGGTAGTAGTGGTGATGGTGGTAGTGGTGGAGGTGTCTCGTGGAGAGAGTCGGGCAGGGCGTGCGGGTGGAGGAAGTGGAAGGGGTGGCACTTGGATGGGGACTGGTTTGGGTGGTGGTCGCAAACGCTGGGCCGGGCTCTTGGGATTATATGGTTTGGGGCTTGGGCGTGTAGGACGACGCTAGGGCTGGGACTGGCGCAGTAGGGCATGAGTAGAGAGCAGCGGGATTTTAGTTCGCATGCTGGCTTCTTCTGGGCTGGGTGCAAGTGGTAGGAGTAATTACGGGGGCTGCGGAGCAACTGTCCAAGAGCCGACGCTACAGTGACCGGGATGCATGCGGCCTGTTGTTGCGGTCAGCATCAACGGCCCGCCATTGGCTGCGCCGCCGTTGGAGCTGGTGGGCAGCCCATTGCAGTTTGCAGACGCCCCAGACGCACCCGGCGGCGAGAGGGCGAGCGAGAGCAGACTTGTACATATGTACACTACTGTACGCAAGTACACATACATGTATGTACATTGTGCTACGTAGCTGCACGTCATGGTGGTGGTGGTGGTGGTGATGACGATGACGATGATGGTGTGTGCGTGTGTGTGTGTGTGGGCGGGTGGGTGTTGGCATGAATGTACATACTCACTATTGTAGCATGCAAGTAGCATCTTTTGGTGTGCTAGGTAGTAAGTAGTAACTAAGGTAGGTAATTCCGCACATAGTGTTGTTCTCTTGTTTCTCATCTCGGCCTGTCGCGCTGTCACTCGATTCCGCGCATCCACCCACCCCGTCCGCCCTTCGCCGACTCGCAGCCAATGACGCAGCCTCGTCTCGATGCATCCATCCATCTGCATCCACACAATCGCCCCTTCCCGATGCAGCTGGGCCAGTCTGCGTGCCTGCCTGTCTGTCTGGCTCTCTGCACGTCATCCCCAATCTGCCACGGAACGGAACCATTCATTTGCAATCACAATTGACCTGCACCCGCCTTTGCCCTCCTTTGCCTCTGCCTATCAACTACGTACACTATACCTACTACTCCTACACTACTGCGTGCCTTTGCTTTTGCCTGAAACGTCCCAAGACCATCAAGCCGTCTTGGATGCTCCCTGCTGTCTATGCTGCCCGTTGCACCGTAGCTTGACTCGACTTTGCCTCTATTCTACTTGCAGCACCCTGTCCGTCACCGTCTCGCCCGTCGCCGTTAATCAGCAGCGGCTGAATTGCCGTCATGTCGCGTGCTTGCAGCCCGCCAGGCTGTGGGTAATGAATGGGTAATGCCGTCCTAGCTGCTGCTGCTGCTGCTGCTGCCACTCCAACTCTGTCTGCTACGGCCCACTGACGCTGCGGCAAAATTCGCCTCGACGCCATTGGCTGCGCCCCTCGCTGCACATCGGCCAGTCTGCTGCAGAGCCACACCCGAGCTCCACTCCCCTCCTTCACTCGCTGCTTTCTAGAAGACACGCACAGACTCAACGCTTCCGGCCCTCACGGCAACTCCTCCAGGGTCTGGCCTCTCTCTCTCTCTATAGCTCTGGCTCTGGCGACATCTGCTGCCTCTCTATCTTATCCGCCACCCACCTGCCACCTTGCCCCAATCCAGCAAAACAAAAATACACACATCCCACTACTACGCATGTCGCAATATCCCGCACCTCTCTCTACCCCACCACATACCTCCACGTCTCCACCAGTCGACGACGCCTCTCCAACTGTCCCCCCTTGTCTCGCCCTGTGCTATTGAACCACACAGCAACCGCCGTTGACATGCTAAGCCCAGACCACAGTGGGTAGCTTGCTTGACGCCCTCCTCTTAAGGTCAAGCACATGCAAAAAAAAAAACACGCCAAGCCTAATGTCACTCACCAACAAAAACCCTCCATCGTGACTTCTGCAGGGTCCACAGACCTCAATTCAAACTAGGCCTCTATACCGCGCTAGTCCACCGGTCCTGTACGTAATACATGTGGGCTGCTTGCATCTTTAAGCACAAACTAAGCCACACCAAAACACAAAAGCCTCTTTAACCGCTAAACCAGCGGAGATTGCCCGGCACCATACATGTGTCAGAACCTAACAACAAACATGGACGGCACTTCAATGGTACCGATACAAGGGATTTTTCTTCTCTACTCTCCTTCCATCATGTACCTAGAGCAACTCCCCTGCTAACCCATGATACATACATACTTTTTTTTTCATGGCTCGTGGTCATCGTCAAGCTCGCCCCCATCTGCTGCACGGCCCTGCAGGATGTCGTACCCCATCACTTCGTTGATGAACTTGCCCGACAACTTTAGTTCCTCGTAGCGCCTCTTTTCCTGTTCACTGCAGTCCCTGGATCCAGGCCCCATCATCTGGGCAATCAGTGGAGCCCAGATCTGGTCTAGCTGCGTGATGCCAATCTGCGTGCAAGGAATATCGTCGAGTAAAGCCGGTGATACTACGCCTGCATCCTTCCAGTGCCTTCTCCAGCACTTGCTCGTGTGCGGCGACATGTGCGTCCGGAACGAAAGCAGGTACCGTCTCCGCTCACTGTACGTTGGGCACGCGAGCAATTTGGCCACCCGGCCTATACCGCCCAGTATCAGGAAAAAGGCAACGTCTTCGTAGCACGCCGGCTGGTGGGACCATCCGCGTAGAAACGTTGCCACCGCCTCAGCACTACTTGCCGGCCGTGTTTTTCTCAGCAGCACCTGCACTATAAAGCAGTACATGTAAAAGTACTGCAGCCGCAGTGGTGCATCCAGATTCTTGACAATCTTCCTCTCTTGGTCGGCAATTCCCGGTGTCGTGCGGACGTGGTAGCCAATCCGTGAACGCGGTCGTATATGTCCGAGGTCCCTCTCCAACAGCAGCCGTCTGTGCTCGTCTAGAAAGTATCCCACGCCAAAGACCAGAGGGAGCATCCGCTCATAGACCGAGGACCACAGCTGCATCTGGCGTGGGGACACTGCTGGCTCCACCGGCTCGCCTACCAGGTGATCGGCAAGCTGCCGCGTCAACCTCAAGGACGCGATATGCCGCCGTCTCATTGTCAGTAAAAAGGGAAAGTCAATGGCATTGGGCCTCGGCGCAGGGTACAGTTGCAGGTGCAGATTGCCCATGCGGTGTTTGACCCAGTACCGCACCAGGGCCGGCGCATTCTCCATAACCAGCATATTGAGCACGCGCGAGGTCCGTCGCAATGCAAGCAAGTCAGCGACGCAAAGCTCGCGTAGCATATAGATGTGAAGCTCATCTGGCAGGCGGAACAATGCATCTAGAAACGGGCTGCTGCTTGGCTGTAATGAGCGATTGCCGGGTGATACATGATTTGATACGGCACGTACCTCGAGGGGCTGCTGCTGCTGCTCGGCGCTAGCCCATTGTTGTCGCTCTTCCTCCTACTTCGCAACGACGCAAGCAGTCTGCTTTGGAACCCGCCTGCTGCCCGTCCCAAACTCGATCTCTTCTTCGCAATCGTCTTGTCACCCGTCGCAGTCGGAGCCCGGCTCCTCGTCCGTTCGGACGCTGGCGTCGAATGAGTGTGATGTCCGCGCTGAAACTTATCCATGGCCGTTTCCGTTTTCTCTCACCGACAGCAGCGCCCGCCCCCAAATCCTCTTAACTAGGCTCAACCTTGCAGAAAAGCAATCGCTCTCAGCGTGCGTTCTTGTTGCGTAAAAACTTTAGCACCACCAAAGTCACCCTGGTTCATCATGGCAATGATGGCCGCTGCATATCTTCTTTTGTTTCTGTTATCGCACAGGAGTGGGTGTGTGTGTGTGTTGGGCCGGTGGGGAAAGAAAGAAGAGGTGTCGGATTAGTTAGTGTAGTTGTAGTCTACTCTATAGGTGGAGTTTAGTCGGTCAGGGTCGAGTCGAGCCCCCCTTACCCACGCGTGGTGCGCGAGCGCCCCCTCTTAACTCAACATGCGCATGATGAGTTGCAGGTCCAGTCCGGTACTAGCTTCGTTTTTTTTCCCGCTGTCTTGGATTGGGGGGACGGGCGGGCGGTGGAGTGCGGCGGCGACAACGCACGGCAACTGACAGGCATTGCGAGGGGGGGTTCTGTCGTACTGGTAGCCTTTTTTTTGCCACGAGGGCATCATGGGCACTCCCTCCCCCTCCAAAATCTGAAACGTGGTCGTATGCGCCTACTATAATACTGTAGATAACACACTTATCTAGGGCTGATGCATTTATCCGCTCCCGTTTCCTTTCGTAAATCATTAAAAAAAATATCCAAAATACCCCGAGTGTTTTTGCCTTTCTATCCTATCTATTCTAGAACAAATGCCGCGTGGGCGCGCGCATTAGCTTTAGCCCTAGCCGTTTTCCATTGTCCTCTCCCGCCGCATTCTTTTGCTTATTTCTGTGTCCCCCCCTTCAAACTTTCGAGACGCGCGCGACTCGTCAGCAGCATTAACGAAAGCCATAGTCACTGCTTGTTTTTTGCGACGCTTTGTACTTTGTTGTACGCTGCGGCATTTTTTGTGTCACGGTTTGCTTGCTGCGTCTGTTTAAGTTACAAGGGCTTCTTTTTCTTTTTTTTTTTTGGTTCTTGCCTTTTTGTGTAGCATAGTAGGTAAGTATAGAAGGGGGTTCATGGGTAACACTGAATGTGGAACTTTTGCTTTTTGGAGGATGTCAGAGAATGAGTGAACGATTGGTGATATGCCTTGACTGCCGCCCTTTCTTTTAGGGGGAGGGGGGGGGGAAGCAGAAAAACAAAAACAACGGCAAAGACGGGGGGGAGTTTGAATGTCACTGATAATGGACACTCTTGCTCCACGTGACTTGTTATCTATCGATTTGTGGTTTCCGCGTGACTTCGGCTTTCAGGGAGTTCGTCAGAGTTGCCCAGTAGCTGTGAGTATTGTTCGAGTAATCAAGTCCAAGACGCACCGCTTACCTGTGTGTCATTATATTTTATCATCCATCTGAACGAGATTCGGAATGCGCACATGGTGTGTCTCTTGGTCCCCGTTATCTGGGCGCTTACATGCAATACATGTGTAATAAGATCTTAATATAGGATTCAAAGGAAGGTATCTTTGGTCAACATGGATTGAGATCGGGGTTGAAGCGGCAAAACAAGGTGCCCCGGGAGTAGTATACATAGTAGGCTAAGCCCGAACGTCAAGCGACCACCGAGTCTAAATACACCATTGAAGCTTTCTTTTCCCCGAGTAACTTTATTCTCTGTCTTCTTTCTCTCTCTCTCTCTCTCTCTCTGTCTCTCTCTCTCAACTTTCTTTTATCCCGTCCTCCGCATTTTCTCCAGCTCTTCGACTCCGCATCTTACTCCGCCCCAAGGCGACACTAGCGGGTCGTCAGCGAACAGCAAACACGGGTACCTCGGCCCAAAAGCCTGCCTTAGGCAAGGCGTCATGGTGGGGAAAACAAAGATCTTAGTGCGGGTTTGTTCAATGCGGAGCTCGCATCATGCCCCAACCGAGATGACCTTGGGGATGGGTGCCGTGTTGCCGGGTCCAAAAAAGATACTGACATCTACCTAAACATCTTTGTTTCAACCGTCCAAAAGTTGGGCCATGTTGCTTGCAAAGATGAACAATACTTTTGTCTCAAAAGTTCAGGCAGCCATGACAAGCGTCAGTTTGTACACGTCGAATTGACGGGCTGAGCGCAATTAACACACTATTCCACGGACGAATTAATTCATGCGCTGTACCGCCGAGCGCCTCCGCCCCATGACGTATACATTCTATACTCCACATAGCCACATAATCCGGCCATGCGTACCCGTCGAGGTGTTAGTCTGGACCTCCCCCTTCATGGTTTAACTATACTGAGTGGCTTGCCTGGGGGGGAGGTGCATTGAACTCGAGCTTACTTCTGTTTGCGGCTACTTGAGCGTACTTGGGCCAAAGAAACTTGTCCACTAACAACTTAGCTTCGGTAAGATGCCAACAAGCTGTATATGGAGTTGGTGTCTACATTTGGCTAGAAAGCGGCGTTTTTGCTGAGTACCTTGCAAATGCCGCGGTAAAGGTAGATCATTGTTTGGTAATTCGCGAGGCGAAGTGAGGTCCCCCCCGGGGAAAAGACAAAAACAAATACTTTAAGGTCCTCCGCTTGCCCTGCTGTGGTTTTTTTCTTTGCGTTTGCGTCCCGTTTACCTTTCCTCCGGGTTTGCTACGTACCTTGATAATGTTTCGTCTCGGTGCTGCTACAGCGGCCCTTGTGGGTGCGGTGTACGCTCAGAACTCGTCGTCACTGCCGACTGTTGACCTAGGCTACCAAGTCTACCGCGCTTCGGGATTTAATGTACGTTGTCTTGTCATCGCAATTGGGAGTGTAGCTGGTGATTTTTTTTTCTGACTTTTCTTTCCCTCTTAGGAAACCGGCAACTTCTACAACTTTTCGAATATTCGATATGCTGCTCCTCCTGTTGGTGAGCTGAGATGGGCACCGCCCCAGGCTCCAGCAACGAACCGGTCAGCAATCAACAACGGTGATGAAGCAAGGTATTTTGAGTCAATTCAAAATATGCAGTGAGATTTTTTGCTTACGTGTTGTAGGATTTGCCCACAGGCTACTGGCGCATGGGGGGCAACTGTTGCAGCGTCGTTGGTTGCGCAAGCACTAGGACAACCGCCAGTTCCCTATGTACCATCAGGAGCCAATGCCAGCGCCGTAGTCCCACCACCTGATCCTCGAGAATCAGAAGATTGCCTCTTCCTCGACGTTTTTGTGCCCGAGGATGTCTTCGAGAATGCCGGTAAAGGATTCGGAGCTCCAGTTCTCGTATGGATTTACGGTGGTGGATACACCGGAGGATCAAAGAATGCTAACCCCGCCGGTCTGCTTGCTGCTTCTGGAAACTCGACTAATGGAGATGTCATTTACGTTGCCATGAACTATCGCCTGGGTGCTTTGGGCTGGATGGGAGGTCCATCTTTCCAGTCGGAGGGAGGTACATCTAATCTAGGCTTGTACGACCAGCGTATGGCGCTCGAGTGGGTCCAAGAAAACATTCATCTTTTCGGCGGCGACAAGAACCGAGTGAGTCAAGAGTTTGTCGTTTTTTTTTCATACCTGACATGACTGACATTCTGCATAGGTTACAGTTTTCGGAGAGAGTGCAGGTGGAGGTTCCATCATGCACCAGATTACCGCATACGGAGGTTCCAAGGGCCCAGCTCCCTTCCAGCAAGCGATTCCGCAGAGCCCTGGTTGGCAGCCAGTCAACTCCCTTATTACCCAGGAGACTGTATACGATAGGTTTCTCAACCTAACTGGCGTTACGTCTCTGGCTGAGCTCCGCGCCCTGTCATCTGACGACGTCATTCGCGCCAATGCTCAGCAAGTCATTTATGACTCCCCGTATGGCTCCTATACTTATGGACCCGTCGTGGATGGAGACTTCGTTCCGCTCCAACCCGGCCTGCTCCTGGCACAGGGACGATTCGACAAGGACGTACGCGTCATGATTGGTTACAATGCCGACGAAGGAGCCGTCTTTACGCCTACTTCAGTTAACACCTCCACTGCGCTACGAACCCAGCTCGGAAAATCATATGCCAATGCGCCGCAGTCAACGATTGACTATATTGTAGACACCTTGTACCCACCGGTTTTCGACGGCTCCCTGGGTTACCGAAACGACTACGAGCGTAGTAAACTGATCGTTGCCGAGAGCGCCTTTACTTGCAACACCTACTACCTCTCAGAGGCATATGGAAACGAGACATATGTCTATCTCTTCGCCGTTCCTCCAGCTTTACACGGACAGGACGTGCCATATACTTATTACGACGGCGGAGCTCTTTCTAATAGCGTCACCAACGCTACTGTTGCCAGGGCTCTGCAAGATTTCATTACAAGCTTTGCCGAAACAGGTGTCCCAGATGCGGTTGGCGTCAAAGAATTCAACATGTACGGGCCGAACGCAACCGTCCTGGAGCTCGACATTACCGGTTTTGAAGAGGTCCGCGACCGTAATGCTAATGCTAGGTGTGCATGGTGGCAGAAGGCGCTATACTAGACGTCGCAAAAGGAAATAATTAATCACGAGAACAACGGACAATGGAAAGAGTAAAGGATATTAATATCACTAGACGAATACGTATTGTTAATAACAGAAACGAACACCTTGCACATGCAAGAAATCGGGCGTTCCTCTCAGATGCGAAATTCGCAAATCGCGATGTTTGTTCCACATGCACATGCGCGTAGTTTACCCACTTTTCCTTGGCTGATCACATCGACGTCATACCACAGCAGCTACCAACTAACTCCACCCTTCCCACCTATCCTTTAAAGCTTGTCGTGTCGCCCGCACTCGTTGCAAACTTCTATTCAAGCTTCAATTGACAACTTTTCTTTCTCACCATTCAACGGCATTCACGTTAGCCTTCGAAACCCAAACCACATACCATCAAAACGAGCAAATAAACAAAGCAAATATGTTTCGTCAACAGATTGTCCGCCAGGCTCGCCTGTTCAGCACTACCCCCGTTGCCCGCAAGAGCCCTGTAGACGCTATCAAGGATGCCGCAAAGACTATCGACAAGACTATCTCTGGTGCTGCTGTGAAGGGTATCGAGAAGGGCGGTACGTTTTCCCTCTTTCCCATCTTTCTCCCTCCCCTTCCTCTTCCCCTCTCCACATTCCCTCTCCACCCACATCTGCACTCCCTAACTCTAGCCTTACGTTAGCTGAGAACATGACGACATCATATGGTCCTACCCCCCTCGCATTCCCTTATTATATTGCATTATATCGTGTGTATGGTTGGCTAATGCATGATTCGATGAACAGAGGAAGTCGCCAACGCCGTCAAGGAAGCTACACCCAACACCGCGGGAGAGGCCAAGGGCCAGGCGAGCCAGGTTGCAGGCGAGGCCAAGGGAAAGGCGAGTGAGGTTGCGGGACAGGCCAAGGGAAAGGCGGCAGAGGTTAAGGGGGAGGTTAAGGGCAAGATGTGAGGATGATATGGGGGATGCGTAATGAACTATGAGCGGATTGCATATCTTATGATGGGGAAGAGGGATTATAAAAGTAACCCAAGTAGCCTGTGCGCAGGGCGAAATGAATCTTAATGTTTTCAATGGAATAACTCGGGGCTTCTTGTGTTTACGTCTTGTGGTTTTGGTGAATGTGGTTGTGTGGTGATGACGAGGGTTCTTGAGGGCCTTCTTCTTCCTCGTATGTTGGCAGCCTCGTTTTATGACAACCCCTCACACCCACTTGTCCCTGTCCTCAAAAAGTTCAAACAAGCCTTTGATCCAAAGTCATAGTAAATCATCTTTTGATTTGCAGTGTTTTTCGCACATCCAATCCCTTTTTCCAACAGCCTTAACACCAAGAAAAGAATTCCATTATATAGTCGTATCAAGGAGAGTAGAGAAGTGAAAACAAAAACCCTTTATCCTCACCCACCCACTGATCCATCCATTCATCATCATCATCAACTCTCCTCTTCTTATTTTTCTCTCTTATTCCGTGTTCATCTCAACGACACTTTGCCTAACCCCCCCCCCCCTCCATCCATTACACCCACCCATCCCAATAAGACACCAAATGGATCATATCCGGTACCGAGACTGATTACACAAACCACAGTCCTAGCTACTCAACACCCCCCCACCCATGTTAGTACTGTCCGGAATCTCATCTCACGCATGGGTTGAGAGGCCGGGGGGGGGGTATACGTACCACATCCCTCTTCTCCTTGTCGGCCCGCTGCTCGTGTTGATTCGCATACGTCTGCACGGGCGGCACGGGCGCGTAGTACGCTTGAGATTTACTCGTGCTGGTGCTGGTTAGGAAGGTGGTGCTTGGGTTTGCGGAGGAGATGGAGGCGGAGGCGGACGCTGACGATGACGCCGACCAAGAGGAGGCAGAAAGCGAAGAGGCTGAGGAAGAAACAGAGGATGAGGGGGAAGAAGAAGTATACATAGTATACAATGGAAGCGAGGGAGATGGGGAAGGAGTATTGACGGGCCATGAAGACGCGGTTGCATCGGTGTAGGTGGATGGTGGTGTGGAGTATGAATTGTATGGGGAAGAAAAGAAGGAGAGTGTAGCGGAAGAAGAAGAAGAAGAAGAAGAGGAGGAGGAGGAGGAGGAGGGGGATGGGGAGGGTGTTGTGGCGCTGTCGGATGGCGATGATGATGATGGGGAGGAGGAGACTGGAGGCCATACGGGAGAGCTGGTTGAGGAGGTTTGGTCGGAGGATGAGCTGGGGGGAGAAGAGGGCCAGCCATCTGATTCAGATGGTGTGGCTGAAAATGACGACCAGCTATCAGACTCAGAGGGCGTAGTAGCAGAAGACAAAGGCCAATTCTCCGATGCCGACGGCGTAACCGTACTTCCAGACCACGAAGCCGGCGTAGAAGATTCCTCCTCCGACACCGCACTACTAGTCCACGGCAAATCACTCGAAGGCGTAGGCGTAGGTGTAAACCAAGCAGACCTCGTCGACGAAAACGACATAGTCAGCGTCCTGCTCCACGTACGTGTTGTCGACCGGCGTCTAGTCGTCGTCGTAGTGCGTCGGCGCGACGAGGTAGACCTTGTGTATTTTGAAGTCGACGATGCACTCGATGGTGTGGCGGATGGACTTCCCGATGTGAATGAGATCCAGCTGATTGTCGAGACATCGGGGGTTGAGGATGGGGAGACGGAGTCGGTTGCGATGGAGAGGCTGCTGGTGAAGTTTCCGGGGGGTTTGTAATGGGCGGAGGAAGTGGGGACTGTGGATGTAGTTGCGTTTCCGCTCGAGGTAGCTATAGGGCCCGTGCTGGTTTCTGTGAGCGTACTGTTTGAAGGGTAGGGAGGGGAGCTGGTGGCTGCGGAGGGACGGCTACTGGTAGCAGAAGTCAGGGGCGGGCTTGAGGAAATTGACACTGTGCCTGTGCCCCATGGAGATGAAGAGGTTGAAGTGCTATTGCCGTAAGGTGCTGACGATCCAGGTGAAGACTGGTGAGGCCAAGAGTGGGAGCCAGTCCCGGATGATTGGGGGCCTGTGGGAAGCGGGATGCTGATAGAGGAAGATTTGCTGACTCCCCAGCTGCTTCTAGTAGCATCCGTAGAGGTCGAAGTAGTACTGCATGCAAATGTTAGTATTTGGTTTCCACGATGCATTATGCATTGTAGCTTACGGTAGAGGTGGAATGGCCGATGTAATAATAACTACACTTGTAACGACGATGGTAGAAGGACCAGATGATGCGGCATTAGGCGGAAGTGAGGACGTTTGAGCAGATGGCACGTCAACAGTGGAAGAAACGCCGGTAGCCAGCGAGGTTGAAGATCCGTTAGGAAAGCTGGATGATGCGCTGCCACTGTCGCTGCTCGAACTCGGGCCCACAGGCGAGTATGGCGGTGGAGCAGAATATTGGCGAGGCCGCACATGCTTTGGTAGATTCACTGACCAAAAAAAAAAGTGTCAGCAATTGTGTATATTTGAATGCCAAAACAGTAGCTGAAGACTGCCAACTTTTAAAAGTCACACTAGTGAAAGGGAAAACGTACAAGGATGCCGTTCAGCAGCAGCAAAGGCCGCAAACGCCACAAGAGATACGTAGGTGTTGAGCTTCATGGTTAAATTTGACTAGTAGTGCCTCACGATGCTAAGAGACGAACAAAAACGAGTGGCAGAAGATCAAGAAGCGAGAGTAGAGTGAGTCCAACAAAACAGCTACAGCTGAGGGGCTTGAGTCTTGGTCTTGTCGAGTCTCGTTGCCTTTTATATATTTTGCCCTTGTTCCACCACGACAGCAACCTTGGTGTGGGTCTGACGTTGCGGTGGCACAAGGTTAAGGTATTGGGTTGCGATGCAGGTACAGATATGCAACAAGGCATATCTGCTTTCCGTTGCCATTTCTCTGCGTCTAGATTCTTACAGAATTCTTATACTCTTAGTCCCCCTCTGTGGTATAGCTGGACTATGAGGCTCTGGATGTTGATTGGGCAAGTCTAGTAGGCTATATACAACTTTCTGATTTGTTGTTTACAAAAGTATATTCTACGTTGCCTGCAGACACGTCCATGGAAGAAATCGAGTGCATTGAGAAGGTAACCATGGGTTGGGCTTTTTGGTCCTAGTATGGAGAGGTGGTTGCGGAGAAGATGCATGATGCACGGTCCCGGGTGTTACACAGCAGGCAGTGCCGCGGCCGCTGCCGGTAGTGCAGAATAAGGCAAATACCACGACCGCCGGTTGGAGACCAAAGTTACGGATGACAGAAGTGACGATGCCAATCAGTTTTGGGGTTGGTGACGTCCACCGCTGTCAGTTACTCTGGACATGGTGTTATTGCGAGTCAATGGACTCGAGTGACTCGAAGCCAAACGGTACACCCAGTGTAGTGTTTGTGACTATGTTTGTATTCCGACGAACATGAGAGTAATGCTGTAGATCACGTGTGGCCTCCTTGAAAAATAATTTGATGAACCTCCTTGCTAAGAGGGAAAGAACGAACCGCTTGGTATCATTGGACAAGAGGCTGGAATAGCCATGGTGACACAATGATGCAGGAACCAAAACTCGGGCATACGATGCTGCAAGGCGCCTGCACGATTCGCGATAGGGTCGATAGGGCGTAAGCAAGCTCTCAAAGCCTGTAAACGCTCACAGTGATGTATTTCGCATGCACCGTGTTGCTCATTGATCAGAGCCTGCGTAAAGTGGCGCGAGCAGGTCTCGAAACCATATAGACCGATGACAAGTGTTGAATGTGGATGAGTTGCTGTGCAACCAGGCCATGTACGACTCTCACGTGTGCCACTTTTGTCTTTGCATTGTGAGCGAGCCAAGGGAACTGCAAGTGCCGCTACTTCGCACACTCGAGATACAGGGTGGGTGCTAGCTTTCTACTTTGTTGACCACCTTGAGCACGGTAGAAATAGAGCCGTCAGCACTAACAATAAGCTTGTTTATTGGACGGCGAAAGAGCGTTTGAGCATGTCTTTTTACCTACCTGAGAGGTGACTGTTCGGCAAGCACACCGCTGTTCCGCTGCTTCCCGGACCCCCAAGTACACCTGCACAAAGTTGCCTCGAGGGACCATGCGTCACGACGCCGAACAAGACGATATTGAAAAAGCACACCTAGTCAACCATTACCAAGGTACCTTTCTGTGCCAGCAGTACAACGCAATCTGATTGACAAGTCGATCCTGCTTGTTACATGTTACGCATCCTCTCCATGGCTCGCACAGTTACGTGCTTGGCACCGGTGTCACTTTTGCTGCCCAAGGCCGACGAAACTAATAACATGCCATCTGTATAGCCAGGTTGATTGCGAAACTTGATACACCACTCCATCTAGTGCGCCACTCCCTTCGGGACTTGAGCACGGCAAGACGGACAGGGTCCACTGGGACAGTAGTTGGAGGAACTTACCGCATCATGGTTGCATGCATAATACTCCGTCACAACACACACACACACACACACACACACACACAAATCACAAGTCATACCACAGGGGAAAGGTTTTTGTGCGACCAGCAGCTTGGAGGCCGCAATAACAATTATACTATACAACGAATACCTCAGTTCGAAGATGGGGACCGAGAGGGAAGAGAGTTTTGTCTCCCAGGCGATGCTGCTAAGCGTCGCTATACGGATATGTATGCATATCCAACAAAAGGTCGAGCGTTTTCGGGGCGCCCAAAATGACTCCGGACAACGCCTTCAGTCGTGACATCGTAACGACACTGTGTAAGAGGTATCATCTGCTTGCAAAACCGAAATCGCTACTCCAAAGTAATAAAAAAAAAAGGAAACAAGTATTTAAAGGAAAACAATGGGGGTTGCCCAACATGAGAATAACGACGTGGGTGTGGCAGCAAGCTAAAGAAGGTTAAAAAGAAACCAGGTGAATGCTGCGACTACTCATCCCAATTCACTAGACTGTTACCGTTGTCTTGGTCATTGGCCGAGTGGTCGTCAAAGGCTTGAGCATATCCAGCACCTTGGAAGTCAAAAAATGATTCGTAATCGGGGTTTCCGGGAGTAAGGAAGCCGTCAGTGGGATAGAAGCTCTCGGAAATGGAAGTGGGCAGCGCCGATGAGTCGTCAGATAGGGATTCCACCTTGAGGTTCAGACCAGACGATAGTGTCTGGGTGGAAGCGGGAACGCTCTCGGAAACATTCATGGCATTCGATGTTCGCGACACCTTGTTAGGATTGTAGGTGTAGGTGGGAGCAAAAGGCTGAGGCAGATTCTCACTGCCAGCCATAAGCGTAGCGGTGCGTGCATCGTTGGGGTCAAGGAATGATCCAAGGAACTGCTGCGACTCGGGCGGCATGGACAAAGTCAAAGGATTGGTGCCAAAGACGTGAGAATTAAAAGGGTAGCTTGCTGGGCTGAAAGAGTACGAAGAAGGGCTGGTAGAGTCGCTGGGGGCTTGCTGGGCGTCGGCGACGGAGCCATCGGCGGGCGAAGATGACTGGGTAGCAGGCGAGTGCGTCAGCGACGGTTGGGCAGATTGCTCGGCAGACTGATTCTGGGTCTGGAAGGCTTGAGGAGGCAGAGACATGCTTCGGTTGACATCAGTCTGGGGGGTCGTGGCGGTTGCGCTCGGTGGCTGAGCTGAGTGATCAAACTGCGTGGGGGCCTGGGGAAGCTGGATGGAAAGAGCACGCTGATGCGACTGTGTCCGTTGAGGGACATGGTAGGGGGACTGTCGATAGCCCTGCTGAGGCTGAGTGGTGGTGGTGGGGCTGAAGGATTGAGTCTGCTGGAAGCCTTGGGGCGAGGAAGGAGCGAATTGCTGGGGTGGCAGCATGGTGGGGCTCAGCCAATTGTTTGCCTGTGGAAAAGCGCCGGCGGTGGATGGGAACTGAGCCCCGAACTGCGGAAAGGTGGGGCTCTGGTTCTGGTACTGCGACATGAACATGTTTCGTACGCCGTGCTGGGTTGCAATGTAGTCATGGAGCTTCTTGTTGAACATGACCGACGTGGTGTGCAAGTGCGCGTTGAGGCGCTGGTACTGCGTAGGTAAGTCATCGTCTTCTTCTTCGTACATTTCTTCATTGATGACATCTTGCTCAGTCACACGCAGTGCGCGGCCTGTGCGCTTCTTGTGGATCTCAGAAGCTCTACGCGCAGATTCGATGCGAGCCTCCAGGCTGCGATCACTACGGCGCGAGGCTGCAATGTAAGCGCTGTGTAGGATCAGCACGTGAATTTTGTGCAAAGCAGGCTTGGGACGACTAACCGCTCCTGGTTCTCCTCGTGGGTCCGCTCCGTCTTGACCGGGCGGGCGGCGGTGAAAGTTCGACGCTCAGCAGGCATGGTGAGGTCCAGAGCAGGTGGTGGTGGTGGTGAGAATTGGGAGTGATGGTAGCAACAGCAGTAGCAGTAGTGGCAGTGATGGTGGCAGTCGTCGTGGTGGTGTGGCGGCAGTGGGTGGGGTAGCTTCTTCAACCGGGATCCGAGCGTGGGCAACGACAACCAGGTTGAGTTGATGGGCTAAGGGGACAGTTCGAGGGGTACGTCTAGCAACGACTTCGACTGTGAGGAGCAATTGGGAAAGCAGGAGACGAAGGGAGGTGGGCGAGCCAAAGTATGTATATGCTAAGGGAGAGGGGAAAAAAGTGGCGACTGTGCAGGGTGGGCGGGCGACGCACAAGGTAAGGGCGGAGCAAGGAGATGGGCCGAAAAAGAACGGAGCTAGAGGCGCTCACGTATCGCGACGACAGGGTTCGGACAGCAGCACGCCAGATGCAGATACGCGACAAGTGACGTGAGGCAGTGCGATGGGGGTGCTAGAGGGGCGGCGGATGCACAAAGGGCTGAGGTTAGTGCAGATGAAAGGGTCTGGTGCTGGGGTGGGAGCGATCGGACGTCGTGAGTGGCTTCGATGGGAGAGTTCTGAGAAGCGGGCCGGGGACTTTAGGCCGGGATCATCAAGCTGCGGATGCTAGCGGACAACGAGGGGGGGATGCGTGGTGTAATGGTACGGCCACAGCTGTGGTGTCGAGTAGCAGCGCAAGAAATCGGCAGCGCGCGAGGAAGCCAGAAATGCGAGGGGGGGGGAGCAGACAGCAGGCTGAGGGGACGAGGGCGATGGTGGCTTACGTGGGTATATTATAACGACGAGGGAAGAAGCAAAGGCATGTGCTTTTTTGCCAATTGAGCACACGTCGAGGGGGTTTGGCCAAGGGACTGTGTGTACTGTGCCAGCAGCGAGGAGCAGGTCGGCCAGGTGCCAGCAGTAACCAGGTGCCAGCAGCAGCCAGCAGCCAGCAGCCAGCAACCAGCGCCCATGCCACCCAACTGCAAGCGGGCGGCCCAATAGCCGGCACCTTGAGAGAGGGCGGGCGGGTCGGCGAGTTGGGTGGCACAGCAAGCAGCAGCAAGACTGGGCTACTGGGCTACTGGGCTGGGTGGGCTGGGTTTGGGCCTAGCCCGGGCGCCATGCTCAATGGCTGCGCGCTGCGTAGGCCCTCGGCGCTCGTAAGCAATACAGAGAGCACCACCATGGCCGCCATCACCACCATGCCTGCCTGCCTGCCTGCCTGCCTGTCCGCCGGCCTGTCTGCGTGCTGGCGGCCAAGCATGCTATGCTAGTACCAGTGCGCCATCTCCCGCTGAGGTAGGAGCAAGTAAAACGCCGGTGCGGGTTCGGGGGGGCTGGCTGGCTGGCAGGCTGGCGGACCAAGGCGGTGGATGAAGAAAGGTTTCTCGGGCAGCCCTTCACTCTCGCTCGCTGTCTGCACCGGTCAGCCAGGGCCAACAAATTGCACCGTACCTGACTATCCACCTGCTTGTTTGGTCGTGCACGAGGCCGCCGAGACGAGACGTGGGCCGGCTATTGTCGCGAGGGCGAGCGAAGGTTTGAAGACGAGGGCGCTGCGATCGCGATCGCCATCGAGATCGCAGGTGAAGGAGCGCAGGAGCTTCCACAAACTGCTGGGCCAGAAGCCAAGCACACAAGGCCGGTCGGATAAAAAGGCCCAGCAACCAACGCACAACGCGGGCCAACAGCACGCCGCCGGGGCTATCCTGGGTCTGCACCCGCTGTCCGTGACCTCCGGCGCGCGCGCGGGTGATATGGCGCCTGGTAGCGAGCGGGCTAAGCAGATGTGCTGCGAGGTGCTGCTGGTGTTGCTGTCGAGTCGTCCTCGTCCTCGTCCTCGTCCTCACCACTCACAGTCAGCCCTTGTACCTAGCGGGGAAAATGCGCAACGAATTAATCACCGCCCCAACGTCCAAACACATCGACGTCACCCGTTGTCACCATCCACTCCCGCTCTCTTATTCCCACCCACCGCCATCGCCCCCACCGCCATCGCCCCCACCGCCATCGCCATCGCCATCGCCATCTCCAACCCATCCACCTGACTGGCGATCGCCCTGCCCGCCAGCTCCAAAAGGGGACTGGGGCAGATACGCGAGTCGCCACATTGGGCCTAGCTCCGATCTCATCGAACCCCCCCAGCAAGCCCTTGGCCAAGCTCGGGATCACGACAAAACTCTGCTGCCAGCTGGTGCACGCTGATCCTCCGATGGCACTCGGCTTAGTAGTTGGCAACAGTACAGAGCAGTAGTGCCAGCAGCAGCGCCAGCAGCAGTCGCCGACTACTTCCAATACTACCAAGTACGTACCCATACTTACCCACAACCCGCCAGTACGTCAACCCTCGGATACTGTGACTGCCTGCAACTCCTCCTCACCATCCGCATTCTTGTTGCCGTGGCATTCCACCATCCTGCCCTAGAGTACCAGACAAAAACCTGGCCTAACACGCGCCACGACACACAAAAAAAAGCCTGCTCTCGTCCCGGTAGCCCATACACCCTGGCAGCCCCCGAGGGTTCACTCACCATGGGTCTGACGATTAGCGAAATCTGAGTTTGAATTTGGGTCGCGCAAAAGCCTGCCATTTGTCACTTGAAACAGCATCCAGAAGCCCCCAGAGCCACCGACGTCACGTAGCGTGGGCTTTCCGCCGCCTGTGCGCCCCGCAGTGCACCGCCATTGCCAGATCGCCGGGGTGCTGCTAATCACGGCCTGTCAAACATCATCTCACATCCGCCGCCCGTCCAAAGCCTAGCACCCCTTGGCCGCACCATGGCTCTCCCAGATCAGATCTCAGATGCAATATTTCCGTCGTAGATCCCATCGTCTGCAAAATCGCCCGAGCAACCAATAGCATCTCCATTTTCGACGCTATCGCCAATCTCGCATCGGTCACCTTGTAGCCCGCGAGACAATACTCGGTCTGCCACAAAAGCCAACAGCACGGGAGTCTTTGCGCTTCAAGCAAGCCTGCCGACTAATCCTGACCAGGGCCAACTTGCTTCTTCTGCACCCACTTATTCGCAAGAAATCTCATCTCAACCAAAATCCCTCCCCTCTATCTCGGTCGCTCTCTCTGCCGCATTCAACAAGCCTCGTGTCCTGTAAGCGTGACGTTGTGAGTAATCATTCAAAGTTGAAACCATCCACAAGGAACGGTGCCCAAAGCCGAGCCCCACAGATTGAGTTCAGCACAGGTCTAGCTGCATGATCTTGCATTCTAACCGGCTGTAATGGTATACCAGCAATTTCCTTCCTATCGGATATCATCTTGGCTGCACTAGGTTCCGCGGCGAGACTTTGTTAACGTGCTTTCAACAACGAGGCGGCACCTAACACTACAACGTCTGAAGCCCGCTCGCGTGGCATTCTTATTGCTATTGATAGTACAAAGGCTGCAATACAACCCTGCGCAGGGTTTGAGATGAACAATGTCAGGAAGCATGGGCATCAATGCGGTAAGTAGAGCGCTCACATCAGTGCAGTGTTCTTTACTCACAGCTTCCCTCAATCTCATCTCCCTTGCATTCTTTGAATGCAATTATTCCCGTGCGAACACATCTCCCTACGGTTGTATGCAGCCGACCGGCAGTTGCATCATTTCCTACCAGATACCAGGCGCATCAATTACATAGGCCTTACTTCACCGCCGCATCAGTACTCCCAGCACGCTATGGCACGGTTGTCGATGCTCAGGGTGATTTGTTACGGATAGACACGCCGCCGCGGCCTCCTACGCATGTACGCGCCAAGTCAGGGCAGATCTTTCTATCTGAAGCTGCCAGGGACCCACTACCCTTGATGCTCGAATTACTTACATGCATTGTGATTATGGGATAATTCTTACATGCTAGGTTCTCTCTTCGGTGCTTTCACAGAAACACTCCGCGGGGTATTGTGTCAGGGTCCCCAGCACGGACTTCCGTTCTGTGGGTGGCGTGGCCCGACTGCCCAATCACAACCCTCATGTATACCCCCTCTTTACGAGCTTATCATCCCTTCTTTCGTATCGGATCCATACGTCCTCCCAGGATCCAGCACAGGCTCACATCAGTGGATGGATGATACACATGCCACGTTCGTTAGCCTCTTGTAACCCTGCACGCCCACTGGTTCACAGTGGCCCGGAGAGCGCTTCCTGTCGATTAGCGTCAAATCACAGCCAAGTGTGCACTACGCTTGACAACGCCTGGTGCCCTAAACAATTCGCATTGGGGGCAATTTAACGGTTTCCCTCCAAATGCCTTTGACCGTTGGCTGCGACGGAAATACCGACATCCCAGTTCAGCCCCAAGTTCTGTCATGTTCGCCTTGAACGTCCCGTACTGCCCCACTTTCGGTCTCTATTCTGTTCCCACTCAACTCCACTTGGAGAAATGCCCCGATCGCCTCGTGGCCAAGAATCGCGTGTTTTTTTCTCTCGCATTCTATATCGATATTAATTATCACGAAGCCGTGACTGCTCATCCGCCAAGCCGAGTCATCTTGCACCTTGGCCTTGTCACAACCCTGTAATCACTCTGGTTAGCGCACTCTTATTCTCACAGAATGTTCACAAAGACCCTGTACGTCGGAGCGACAATCTCCCGTGCTGCCGAACACGCAACTTCGGGGGCATATAAGCGAAGGGTCCGACTGGAAGCCGAAGTCGATTAGTGTGTGTGTGTGGGGGGGG